AAGAAAACACTCTCATTCACTTACAGTCCACAAATGGCTCTTGAAATCTGTGCGAAGGCTGCCGCTGGTGCTCCTGATATTCTTGGAGACTGTAAGTTTTGTGTTTCTGTATTGTTTTGTGATTTTTTTTTTTTTATAGGTTCTGATTTGGAAATTATTTTGAAACTTTATGTTTCGTTTGTTTTTCTTTAGGCCCATTCACTCAAAGGGTTCTGCTAACGTTGGAGGAAAAGAAAGTTCCTTTCAAGGCACACTACATCAACACCAGAGACAAACCCCAATGGTAAAAGATTGGTTTTTGGGTGTTCCGATCGGTGCTATTGAGGGTTAAGCAAATGAATTGTTGTGATTTCTGAGAAAGGGATTAATTGTCGTAAGTATTTTTTGTGATGAAATGTTAGGTTTTTGGAGGCAAACCCAGAAGGGAAGGTGCCAGTGATGAAGTTTGATGATAAATGGGTGCCTGACTCTGATGTGATTGTTGGAATTCTTGAGGAGAAGTACCCTGAGCCTCCTCTCGCTACTCCTCCTGAATTTGCCTCTGTGTAACGCTCTTAACTTGCCCTTCTAGATATTTTTCTTGATTTGTTAGTTCAAGATTTAATTTTGCAGTCTTTTGTATCCAGTTTGATGATACAGGAGAAGCAAAATTTTGTTCTGTGATTATTATTATTATTAATTTTTAACTTTTTTCACGATCAATTTCTCAAGTTGAAGCAAACAGATGCATATCTTTCTCTTTTCCCTGTGGTTGGTTCCTCAGAAATGACTTGATTTGATCTGTCACTATAAGTTGCTTAAATTTGTATGTAAGGGGTATTGTTAAAGTTGAGCTTTTGCTCTCATTTGTAATGTGATCGTGTAGGGGATCAAAGATTTTCTCAACTTTCGTCCAGTTTCTGAAAAGCAAGGATCCAAATGATGGGACAGAGCAGGCTTTGCTTCAGGAATTGAAGGCATTGGATGAGCATCTGAAGAAACATGTACTAATAAGCTTGGAACATAGGGGCATCTGATTTATAGTATTGTTTTTTTTTTTTTTTTTTTTTTTTT